CAATGGCCATCTCTGCTACTGAAATGTAGAGTCAATGGCCATCTCTGCTACTGAAATGTAGAGTCAATGGCCATCTCTACTACTGAAATGTAGAGTCAATGGCCACCTCTGCTACTGAAATGTAGAGTCAATGGCCATCTCTACTACTGAAATGTAGAGTCAATGGCCATCTCTGCTACTGAAATGTGCAGTCAATGGCCATCTCTACTACTGAAATGTGCAGTCAATGGCCATCTCTACTACTGAAATGTAGAGTCAATGGCCATCTCTACTACTGAAATGTAGAGTCAATGGCCATCTCTACTACTGAAATGTAGGACCAGTCAGCCACATGAAGAACACCTGTGCAGAGAGTTACAAAGAAGATGGGACAAAGCTTTTCTTTGAGTGGGTCAATAGCACATGAACAAGTATGGAAACAACTTAGGGTCAGAATGCTCAGGTGAGCCAATGTGACAACTGACAGAAAACAGTCTTTTTTGTTTTGTTTTGTTCTTCATTTTTGTGTTATGAGTTTTATATGTTTCCCCCCTTTTGTTGAAAGAGAGAACATAATGTAGGGTGGGTAGGAATTGGTGTCATCCAAAAGGAGTTGGTGGGTGGAAAGGAACAGGATGAAAATATGTAATATGAAAAATACTTTAATGAAAAATAAGTAAATAGGACTGGAGAGATGGCTCAGAGATTAAGAGCACTGACTGCTCTTCCAGAGGTCCCGAGTTTAATTCCCAGCAATCACATGGTGGCTCACAACCATCTATAATGAGATCTGGTACCCTCTGCTGGTGTGCAGACATACATACAGACAGAACACTGTATGCATAATAAAAAAAGAATAAGTAAATAAAAAGGGGGAAGGAATGAGAGAAAGAGGAGGAGAAAAGGAAAAGAAAGAAAGGAACAAGGAGAAATCCACGAGACTTCAAGTTCCAAAGCAGTGGACACAAGCCAAGACAACTTACACTTCTGACTTCCTCTTCTTTCTCATGTGTCTGCACTCTGAAATGGAATCAGGGGAGTTAGGAAGAGTGGAAAGGGAAATTGAACATGTCATCAAAAACATTCATGACATTTTCTTCTAATCAAGGGTATTGTTTTTAATTGAACTGTTCCCCAGCAACCATTGGAGGCTCATTCTTTCATGTGCCCCACAGGAAGTATCTTATCTTCATTCGAAGATTGGTGCACTCACCCATATAGCATTCCTAACCCGCTAGAGTGGCACTGGAAAATTGTCTTTCACTGAAAAAGATGAAGTCTAGGTTTGTAAATTAGCTGCTGGAGCACAGGCTAAATGTGAAATCTCCCGGTGACCTGAGACACAAGGTCCTATTAGTGGTCTCTTCCATCAGGGACCCTTTAAAAATGTCACTAAAGCAGCACTATGCTGGCCTTGGCTCCTCCCATAACGTTGCTCAGGAAGTGTGTACCACTTATTCCTCACTCTCCACTTCCTGTCAAAGACTCCCAGTAGCCACCCTCCCTCAGGGGAGAATAAACAACTTTGGGCTAAGAAAGTGAATATATCTGTAGTATTTTATGCAATTTATATTCCCCTTTTAGACATTATCTTACGACTTTAGGTTAAGCTAGACCTGACCTGTGATCCTTCTGTATCAGTAGCCTGAATTGTGGGATTATAGGCAGATGTCCTCAGGGCCAGATTAAATAATCATTATGAATAAACAAGTTCTAAATATTGGAGGGAATCGGCCTGAAAGCTGGCAGCCATATTCTTGTTCTCTATTTTCGGTCCAGCCATGTAAAACAGGGAAGTAATGAGCGTGTGTGTGGGGTCTTGAGCAGTTGACAGCTGAGGGTCTTACACATGGAGTGGACTGCGCAGACAGAAACACTGTGTGCACGCCCACAAACTCAGCAGGAGGGGGTCATGAGGTCTGGCTTCCATCCTCAAAGAACTCTGGTTAGCATTAGTCATGTAGTTTCCTCTCCCAGTGTTTCATTTGCCTCTTCTATTAAATATGTTGTGTTCCAGAACACTCATAAATATCATCATGGGGAAAAAACAGATGCCCAAGCTAGGAGAAAGTACAGCCTAGGTTTTGTAATGGTCTGTTACCATCCAGATCTCATCCTGTGCTGCAAACTATTGTTCCATAGTCTCTAATTTCTTTTACTTTGGAGATCTCTCTCTCTCTCTCTCTCTCTCTCTCTCTCTCTCTCTCTCTCTCTCTCTCTCCATGCTGGAGCACTCAAGTGTTCCAGTTCCTGTGCCCGTGTGAGTATGTGCACTAGAGTTCAGGATCCTGATAAAGGGGAGGCATTTCATGAGGCATCCAATGGAGCTGTAGTTAAGGCAGTTATGACTCACCCACACAAGAACTGGGATGGGATTCATATCCTCTGCAAGTGCAGTACATGGTCCTGAGTGCTGAACTATCTTTCCAGGCCCATATTAAATTTATTTAAGGAAAACTTGAGTTTAGTTTTTCTGTTGACATGACCAATAATTGAAGCACAGCTCATGGATGGTAGTGGAAGAAGGATAAAAAGGTCAACACTGGCCTCAGCTACACTGTAAGTTCAATGCCAGCCTGGGATGTACAAAACCCTGTCTCAAAAACTGCAAAGGAAACAAATCAAACGAACAGTGGAACTTAGGAAAAGAGCCACCAGTATTTAAATTTTACAAGTTAGATGAAACAGGAATCTTGATGATACTGTAACAGTGCTCACTGAGCACTTCACAAATGTTAGAAACAATCTCAGTGCACAGTAGTTCCTAACACATCCCTGGGATCCAGAGGGGACTGCAGTATGTATCTTAGATTAGGGAACACAGAGGAGTCATGTGAAATGTGAACGCCATGGCATGTGGAGTTACTTGAAGGCAGTCAGAGTGGCTGAGAATCCTTGTTCTAGTTCCTTGGTTTGGGAAATATACATGAAACATACTGTCTTCTAGCAAAGGGCTAAAGAAGACAGAGGAAGTGCCATCTTGAAAGAAATGTGGGAAGTCTCTATTGGCAAGAAGAGCTATGGAATTTTCCTAGAATCAAAATCTATGCTCAGACTCCATTCTCCCTAGTCACTACACTGCTTTATAGGGCCAGTCTCAGGAGAATCCGAGGCCAAGCTCTGAGCACTCAGAGACAGGCACAGGACCTCTTTGTTTTAGAGGTGAAGGCTCAGCAGGACCCCCACTTTGCTCGGTGGATTTAAAGAGGCTTTGCACTATGCTACAGGTGTAAAAGATTTTGCTCTGCCAACCTTCCTTGGATTTTGTGATCATTAATCAGGGAGAAGCACTCCCATTGCTAACACCGAAAGCTTGATAGAGTTACTCACTTATGATCATCAGGATGCTCGTGAGAAGCAGCAGCACAACAGACACGGAGATGCCGATATAGAGGCCCTTGGTGTGGATCTTCAGGGGGTTTGGTGTGGGGACCACTTCCTAAGGAAACATCAATCATTGATGAGGCACCAAATGAGATGAG